ATACTGAACAAACCTTGGCTACAATAAGACCATCTCAATCTGGGGATAAGACCCCCACAAGACTCTGAAATCTATGTTGCAGCAAGGATTTCTCTCCATGGAGAGCAAATGAGTATCACAATTGTGTATGTCATTGCGGAGTTTTTGGAGAATACCCGAACGCACAGGGTCACTTCGACATCAATAGACCCTCGTATCGTTGCTGGAGTACTTGAGACTGGGCACACCGTGTGCTTCTATCGTTTTTCAAAGCGGACCAAAGGCAGGTTGCAGAGACCATATGGTTTCTCACAGGACATTTCTATTGCGAACCGAATTCTACCGAATTCAGAGTACGACGATTACATCTTCATCATGGTCAACCGTTTCAGACCGTACATTGGGCATGGAAGCGTGAAAGCAAGCATAGGGCTATTCGCAACCACTGGACTTCTAGACTCTGAATCAATATCTTCAATGCACATTATACCCGCAAGCTACGGCTGAACGTCATGAAGCACGTAGACACTGAGTGGGACATGAGTGTGTTGCCCTCTATCAAAAACGCAACAGTCAGACATAACGCCTGAACGAGACAGTGCTGCAAGTGCTAAGGCATCTATCTGCCTACAACTGACCAGATGAGCACCTGGCCGGCTAAGAGGTGCACAACAGCTCATTTCATTTCATCCTCTGCTACTCTCTTCAACCAAATAGACTTCCCAGTCATTAGACTGAAAACTACAGCTATAACGAACGGGCACTCTTTTTTGTTTATTTATTTATTTTAATAGTGTGCCATCCTTGCACAGGTGCCATGTCAATCTTCTCTGTATCGCTCCAATTTTAACGGATGTCCTGGAAGAGACAAATATGACCGGGCATTCTATTCGCGCGAAGATGGTAGTACACGGACCCTGTTGAAGGCCCATCATTGCCGGAGATCGTTCATGCCAGTGGACCTCCTCTGGTCCCATATCCGCAGCCCAAAACTGCGAACGAGGCCATCTTTTGTGGCTAAGTGCAGATCTATTCTCACTGGAAAACCGCATCTCTCTGCTGACAAAATGGTTGGGGCGATGAGCTCTCCACGTAATTCATGACGACTTCTGCGCCCAATTCGCAATGCTTCGTCTTGGGCCATCTTTACCTTATCAACTTCACCCCATATCTTCGGATGTACCATGTATCCCATATACGGTACAAGGAACTTGAAGGAAGCATCTTGTTGATGCCGTATGTTCTATCTGAGCTATATGGTAGAAGAAGCATGCACCATCTTAGGCCCAGACGTACGGAATCCATACTACTGTGGAAGCGCCCGTGAACCGACGGGCATTGATAAGTCCCGTCTGAGTGAGTGGGTAAGTGTACCAGCGGGGGTCACATGCTGACTACAGAGTGAAGTGTACAAGAATTGCCGTGTCCGTGGGTGTTGTGTGTGGTGTGTGTTGAGTTGGACACTACAGCCTTGCAGGGGTGGGGTGGATATCACGACCGGTACGATTCCACTTTTGAACACCGTGTCCTGGCTGTAGTGGTTAAGAGACTTGGCTCTTGAGGCCGAAGTCGCCGGTTCGAATCTGTGCTTGCACGGAGGAGGACTTAGGCCCAGACGTACAGAATCCATACTACGGCTATGCCGTATGTTCTGTCTGAGCTATACGGTAAAAGACACACACACCATCTTAAAATCTACAGCTATGCCGTAAGTTCTGTCTCAGCTATACAGCAGAAGAAGCACGCACCATCAAGCAGTCTACGGCTATGCTGATATTGAAAATATTATTGGACCTCAGGTAACGCAGTCAGCCAGAAGACGAGAAAGACAAAGCAGGTTAAGCAAGGTCAAATGCAAAGGTGAGAAAACATGAAACATGGATTGAGAGAACCACTCCTTGAGACGGCAGCCCAAACAGTTGGTGCATATGAGCAACAGATCTAGAGGTGAAGCTCATCCGCCACACTGCTGGTGCAATCAATATGCTGTTACAGGGGTCCTTCGGGCAGACAGAAGGATGCGGATGGCCAGACGGAAGGAAGCGCGGAAAAGGAACCGGACTGATGCTCCGCAGAATGGATAAGGAAGCAGGGCCAAAAAAAAAAAAAAAGCCTCGTCTGTTATTGTTTACAGCATTGTTCCATTGCTCTCGGTAGATGTTCTTGGTGGAGTAAAATTCTTATGAGTGCAGCACGCCCCTTTTACAAAACAAGAAAGAAAAAAAGAAAAATGAGTTATTCATAAAGACAGAAGAAGAAGAAGAAGAAGAAGAAGAAGAACAAGAAGAAAGCTCTTGAGAGTGAACACAACAGGGCCAAGAACAGCAAGAAAAAAACGGCGAAAGAAGAAATGCTCAGAGTGGTTGTCTGGGACAATGGAATGCCACCGCAACCACACCACACACTCGGCAGCAGCAGCTGGCCGACACAATGGCCCGCACGCCTTGGCAGCTGCCCTCTCATCAGGTATTCATGACGAAGTCATGAACGTCTGCACAGGATGCAACACTGATGATGGTTACTCTGCACACCCTCTACATACATCAGCCGGAAATAGATGCGCATCCACACTACCGTTTGTTCTGTTCAAGGAACTTCACTGGTTCTTCTGTGGCCCGTGCTTCTGCAGTTTCTTGAGAAGACGAGAAAATTCAGTGTGTTGCTCATGCTGCTGCCAACTAATGGCAAATCACTAAGCCCCAGTGCAAAGATGATACACATGAATCAAGACAAGAAATGGCTAACTGTTCATTGAACTTTGTTCAATTCCTTGGACTGGATAACCGTTTGCCGTTTGTTCAGGTGCTTGGAGTGACGCAGAGAGTCAGAGACGATTCGCATGGCGGCCATGGCCCCTGTGTAAAGATGATACACGTAAATCTTACATGAGCTCACAGAAAGTTAAAAAGAGGAGTGGGGGGAAGGGAAGGAAAGGGAATGAGAGAGGGCTGGCAGGGCATATAGAGCCTTTGGCTACTACACAGACCACACGCAAATCTTAGGTCAGCTCACAGGCTTTTCCCTGGTCATTAGGAATTATTATGTATGTATGTAATGTAATATGTAATATCATCATACTAATATGTATGGCAAGATGGCCTGCGGAAATACAGAACACCGTAGGGAATTGAAAACTACATCATCTTAATCGTATACATCTTAAGCGTTCCACATCATCCTTCAGCACATCCATTATAATTAGAGCGATACAGAGAATGAAGATTAGCATGGGCCCTGCGCAAGGAAGACACGCATAAGTCGAGAAATGGTCCAAATTAAAAACAAAAAAGATTAAAAAAAAAAAACATCCATTTTTGTCCTAAAGATTCATAGAAACTCTATGAGAAAAAAAGGAATTTCATAATTTTCATTCACATTCTGCAAGTCCATTCCAGACTACTACATCCAAATACATCCAGCAATTGCAGTCAGAGAATTTCAAACTCTGCAAACTCCCATATTGAATTCATCTAGCAATTGAATCCAAATTCATCTAGAAATTCCATTCATCCAGCAAAAAATCCTAGCAACTACTGCGCCCAATTTCTTCCAGCCAGAAAGAAAAGAACACGATTGTCTGATCCTCTACTCACTCTGTAAATCAAAACGGTGATTCCGCTCACTGTCATTAGTGCCCCGACAACGCCCTAATAAATAGAACCAATTTGTGATAAATACCCTCCTCAATCAAACCTGCCATGCCATAACTTTCTCTAGTCGAGTCAAACTGTCAAACCCTTTGTAAACGACTGAGACAGGGAGCGGGAGCGTTGTACGCAGTTAGAGTGGGGAACCAAAAAAAAAAAAAGACAAAAAAAACTACCATAACTTGAATCTACAGAGGAGCCCCCTTCCTCTCCCAATTGTGCCACGACTGGAAATCCACTGAACAATCCCCCTCCTTCCACAGCCCCCTTAAAGAAATCATCAACAGCTGAGAAATAAATGACTGCTACAAACTCAGCAGGAGCCTACCAGGACAAGCACAGCACATTGACAGTTTCCTATGATATGAACAGATCCATACCCATAGACCAGGTGCATTACATCCTAGAAACGACAAATCACTCACTGCTTGAATCGACGCTCAGCACACTCCTTCAGCACCTGTAAGCACGTGGAATCTGAATTGGATTTGTGGGGCCAATTTGCGCGAATGCCGACGCGAATTGGTCATCAACTGTGTCACACCATTCAGTGTCACTGTGTCACACCATTCATTGCCAATTCAAGATACTCACAAATTCCTAGGCTGTTTTTCTGGGCGCTGGGGCACCCAACTTCTGCCCGGGTACACGCCCGGGTGCCCGGCCAGGCATGACCCCCAGGCAGCGTTCCGGGCAGCCACAGTTGCAAAAAAAAAATAAAAAAAATAAAAAAAATTCCTCACAGAATCGGAGATAAAAAAGAAAATAGCAGAATCACACAAAGGCAACCCCCCTTTTAAACCCCTTTAGCCCCTTAAAACCAATTTATACCCCCCTCCCCCCCACTTGACATCCAACTGGCAAAAAAGAAATGAGCCCGGATTTGGGGTCCTCTGGGAGAGCGGAGAAAACCAAAAAATAGAAAAATATTTTATTTCCATTTTTTATTTTTTTCGCATGCCCGGGTGCCCGGCTGGGCAGAAGCGACTGGACGTGAGATTCTTCCTAGCTAAATTCCAAAAAGTCAAACTGCTTTGAGCAACATACCACACATGCAGAAAGAAACAACACTACATTAACGAGTACGGGTGTACTCATTGATGTCGAGTCCCAAATTACACTGAGCTTCACACAAGCACTTCTGTCTCACACGGTGCCTGATACAGTGAGGCATTTTTTAAGTCATGAAAAGGTCGTGGAGTGTCCATCATCAGCATCATAGGCAGAGGGGGGAAAGTGGTGGGAAGTTGCAGAGCAAGGGATCGCGCAAATGAAACTCCAGATGAAGACAAAAGGTTGAAAAACAAGCTAGCAAGAAAGCATGAAAGGCGTTCTGCTACAATCAAGCCGACATTTTGTACCCAAAACAAACGCGCTACCAAGCTGCGCTGCGTAGACGTCGAATGGGCTGCCCTATGATGGATGTCAAAAGAAAGGAGGGGGAAAAAGGGGAAAAAAACGAAAAGGGAGGGTATGAGAAGAGTTGCATAGGGAATAATTGAGTACAGAGTATTCCAGACTCTCTTATAGAGCAGAAGACCGCTGTTTGCGATGGTTGTGACCTTCACACATGACAACATGTGATTCCTCCTCAAAGCCCCGGTAGGCTGGACGGCTTTATACCACAGATCGCCATCATGCTCATTAAAAGGGAAAAAAAAAAAAAAAGACTGTACTTAACTAACTTTCTGCACATGGTAACAAAAGAGAAAGAGGTGGCAATGACCAGATGCAATGAACTGCATGTGTTGGGTTGGAGAGCGGCGGGTTGGAAGTGAAGTGTGGGGCAGGCAAAAACCAGATGAAATAGAAACAGTGGATGCATGGCAAAAACACATGGAAAGGGACACATGAATGTGTCATACATACATGGAACCTGGAACAAAGATAATGGGACCTGGAACAAGGAAAACAGACTTCAACAAAGATAATGGGACCTGGAACAAAGCTAATGTGACCTGGAACAAACTTCAACACAGAGAATGGGACCTGGAAAAAAAAATAATGAGACCTGGAACAAGCAACAAAGGTAAAGAAGGGACCTGAAACAAGGAACAAACTTCAACAAAGATAATGGGAACTGGAACAGAGATAATTGGACCTGGAACAAGGAAGAAAGATAATGGGACCTGGGACAAAGACAATGGGACCTGGAACAAAGATAATAGGACCTGGAACAAAGACCATGGGACACGGGACAAGAAACATAGGACATGGGATATAAGGCATGGATAATGGGACGTGGGACAAGCATGAGACGATACCATACTGGGACCTGAACAAAGACAATGGGACCTGGAACACAGATACTGGGACCTGGAACAAAGACCACGGGACACGGGACAAGAAACATAGGAAATGGGATATAAGGCATGGAAAATGGGACCTGGAACAAGGTTGATCGAAAGTGGATGTTACCTTAAGAGCCGAGAAAGACGAGAAGACACACCTTAAGAGCTTGTGATTGAGCCGATCGATCCCTCGATCGCACAGTGATAATTTACCCGACACGGAAAGGTAGGTTAACAAAGAAATTGGACATACCCAAATCTGCATTCCATCATAGATTGGCCTTGGCCCAACCATTAACAACAGCGACTGTCCTCAAAGCTGATGAAAAGCATCGACCTCCTCTGGATTCTTCCTTTTTACAGATACTGCTGCCGCAAACTTGCCTGACCGCTTATTCCAAACCGCTCTGCATTTGGTTGGTCGGACCCTGCGGTTCGAGAGCTCACCCATCGTACAGAAAACACGCTTAATAAGTTATACTCCAACAAAAGCTGGTTCTCCTCTAGTAAACAACTCTTGCAAATGAACACACCCTGCCAATCACTGGCCAACAGCTATCGTAGCCTCCCCTATTTTCTACTCTCCCTGCCAATCGAAGCCTTCCTATTTTCTACTCTCCCTTTGCAGAACCTTCAGGAGTGCCAGTGGTCCCGTCAACCGAGCCTGGGCTCATGTTGAAAACCCCCCTGAATGCCATCAGACACACCAGTAATGTACACAGACCTACCGATTGTCTTGGTTCATCATGCTCAATATGCCAAACTCTTCTCGTTCTGTGCAGCAACTGCTGGCCTCAACGAGTAAACTGATGTCGACCCCTCCTAAACTTCACATGTGGCGTGGCTTAGAAACAAAAACAACGACCTCGACGCATGGCTCTCCTATCCCCCCTCCCATCTCTTCCCCCTCACAAAACTTTATATATAACCTTATCAACTAACCTTGCCCAGCAGCAGCATCCACATACAAGAAACCTTGCTTTGTATGCAGATGGCTCCTTCACCTGCTTCCCACTCCGTCCTCTCCCCCCTTTCCGCTGGAAACACCTCCACCATCTTAACCTTGCCCCACCAGCAGCATCCTCGTACAAATGCTGCACTCTGCCACACAACAACACACGACGAGAGTCATAATGCTTAATTCAGTGCCATGCATATGGCTGAAGGATGGCAGGAAAAGTTGTGAGCTTGTGGACATTGACAGAAAGAAGAATGCTGGAATAGTTATGCAAGACGATCCCTTAGATTCTGATCACAACAAGAAACTGGCGGGAGAAAAAAGGGGGCGATTACTAATACAAGTACATGATTGCCATTAACGACAGCAATCTGCTTCTAGGAGACGGTTACGACGAACATAAAGGCATGGCTGGACAAGGCATCGCTGGACAAGCTAGGGGTCGCTTTTGCTACACAGTGGTAGATGTGGGGGGTGAACCCCGTATGCGTTTTGACTCTTTTGATCCTCCCTTCCTGGACGTGAAAAATGGGTCATTCTCTATCGGAACAATCATGGTCCTCCTCCCCCAGAGACCGGGAAAATCTGCAAAATTAAGTGCCTTCTCGATGAAGCATTAGTGATTTCCAGAAAATCTGCAAAATTAAGTGCCTTCTCGATGAAAATGAACAATTACTAAGTTTCTTTACCCCCTTCCCTCATCCTTCATTCCTCCCCCACCCCCCCAAGGACCCCCCACTCTGCCTCCACCTCCCCTGCCCCCTACCTCACACCACATTTCTTTACCTCGCACCAATTTTTGTCTTCTTCCTTCACCCATTCTTTCTGAAAGACATTCGGTTCCGGCTGCTAATCTTCAAAGACTCCATACATTCGTCCACGGTGCATCATCTCTGAGTTCTTTGAGGAATAGAATGCGACATGTACGATTTCCTGCCAACATTCACATCCGCATTTATTTTTCCCTTTCCTTTTTGTAATAGATATAATCACAAGGCTATTATTATGTCAACGTTCCCACTTAGAATGTATCTTTTCCTTGCTTTGTCATTCTCGATGCGCATTTTAGGATTGCCAACTTCATTTTCTCCTCAGAATTTCAGAAACAATGCGGCCAAACTATGCGGCCTCCGCTTTCTCCCCTTTTTTTTTTTTTTTTTTTTTTCCCCCCTTTACCCCACTTTCTGTTACCAGCACACACCCTTGCAAAAAAAAAACAGTGGACGCTATCACGCTTTTCCTTGCTGTCATTCTCGATGGGCATTTTAGGACTGCCAACTTTATTTTCTCCTCAGAAACAATGCGGCCAAACTATGAGGACGCCGCCGCTTTCTCCCTTTTTTTTTTTTTTTCCCTTTACCCCACTTTCTGTTACCAGCACACATCCTTGCAAAAAAAAAAAACAGCGGACGCTATCACGCTGCCCATCTCTCCAATTTCGCTGGCTGATTGTTAAGGGCTGCTGCAGGTTCCCAGCTGCAGCTTCACGGGGGAGGTTGTCGGCAGGTATGCTATGTGCGATACAGACGTTGCAGAGTCATTGTGGGTCCGAAACGTGTGCCCTAGCGGGGAAGGTAACAAGTTCACTTCTAGTCAAAACAACGGATCGCTCTGTTTTTGGACGGCTTGGTCTCTGGTGGTACCAGTGCATCAACAAGTGGTGAAGGAGGTTCATGAAACAGGATAAATCTAGCAAAGACTGAAGAGATTTATCCCCGTCGACTTGGGCTCCCCTCGCTCCGCTTATTGAATATAGGGTAGCCTGCTTTTCATTCATTCCGCCGATTAGGCGAGGCTACGGTGCCTTTGTTTCTTTTTCTTTTCTTTTTTTGTTTGTTTCCCTAACTCTAGTTCCTCGATGTTTCTTTAAAGGCGAAGATTCAGCAGGTTTTGGAGATCGTGCCTCCCACTTTTCTAAATAGAAAAGTCTCAAGACGAGCCGCGTTGTGGGGAGCAACGGGTGTCCCATAGCAATGTAAAAGCGCAAGTAGAGAAAGAATATTCAATATTGTGAGACAGCTACTTGACAGACTGCAAGAAATTATTTCAGAGGGTAAATAATAAATAATAAATATCGACTATATGCATTTTTTATTTTTTATTTTTTTAACCGTTTCTCGATTTACAGGTGTCATCCTTGCGCAGGGGTCATGCGGATCTTCTCTGTACGGGAAAAAAAAAAACAAAAAAAACTGCATCTTCTGAATCTCAACCTAAGGTATAAAACGAAAAAGATAAAAGTTTCGGTAAGCAGCAAATGACCTCAGAGAACGGTTGATTGGCAACCGGATACAACGCATGAAACACAGATGCAAACAGCGAAAATGAAGACCATCATGATGATGGCCTTCCTCCCTGCATAAGCAGGACCGTGACTACAATATACAAGAAGAACATCATGTGGCCACCAAGAGAGTAATAGCAAAGCAAAAAAGATTTTTCAGCGAGCAAAAAAGATATTTGAATATTTCACGACCATTGGTTTATCAAAAATCGAAATCCATGTTTTCGGTGTTCCAAACTCCGCCTGCATTCTCTTTTTTTTTTTTAATTTTTTTTTTTTTTTTTTTTTTTTCCGCCTGCGTTCTCAGGACTTTTGAATGCACAATAAACACATATACACATGCACACACTGACCGATGGCAGACGAGGCCTTTTCAGATTTCTGAGAACAAAATCAAGATCTGTGAAGGGGCTTAGGACATCTACCGATTTCAGTTTGTCATCGAAAATTCTGCAGCACAGAGATAACCTCGTAATCCGGAACACAAGACAAGACTTTCTGATGACAAATGGTCGGCCAGCAACTATGAGACCGGCCCCACTGTGCTTCAGAAACATGAAACTGGCCATACTTGCGGCCAGATTCATGTTTTCCTAGCATGAATGTAGCACCCGTGATGCCTGGCCGTACGTAATATTATGCCCCCGAGGAAAGTTTACAGTGGCCTGCAATTATCATAACGACTTGATCCGACGAGTTGACAAACGCTCCATTACGCTCATTGTTCAGTTTCTGAGGGTACAAGGAATTCCGAAACGAACGATGGTTTGGGGGTTGTAGAGAGAATCCAAATCCCAATCCCAAACGGACTATTTTGGTACTTCTCGATTCTTCAACCCAGTCCTGACTTGCTTCCATTAAGAACCATTATGGAGATGAACAGCCTCATGCACTTGTGTAACGATTTGCCGAATGCCAAAAAGAAAGAGGAAAGAAAAGAAAAAAAAAGAAAGAAACTTAGAAAAGGGAAAAGGAAGGGGGAAAAAAAAGAAAGCACTTGTTGTGTGGTAGTCCCACATGCACATTTCCTTTGCCTTCTGTCCAAGAAAAACCAGTCAAAACCACCCTCGATGAAATGATGGAAAAAAGAAAGGTTCAGAGGTGAAGAAAACAAGAAAACTTAGCTCAAAAGAGAAAGGGCAAAATAACCAAAGGGTCGAAAGGGGAATAATTTCCAGCAAAGAAGGGTCGAAAGGGAAAAATAACCAAAAAATGGACGAGTACATTCGAGGCGAAGCGTACCTGGGAACGACAGCAGAGATGGTCTGAATGGGCTGCTTGGCAAGCTACTCTCAGAAATCTTCACGAAAGAAAGGAGGGGCTACTTGAACCATTTGCTAAACCACGCCACGGACTGCGAAATCCACCATCTCGCATTAACCATCATAGGAACGCATCACAAGAGTGACGCAAGCATCACAGGAGAGCAATTCAATTTAGATTCGCAAATTTGAAGACAAGCAGCCTAGCATCGACAATGCCGCATGACGGATGCTGGGATGCGCACGATTTAAGCGGCCAAAGAGAGTGGCCAATGGCTGGGTGTTGACACAGAGGGAAGGGGGACCAAGCAAGGGGGAGGACAAACGCCTCGGGGGTGCACGAGCCAAGGGGGAGGGAAGAGGTGCAGGGAAGGTAGGAGTTGCAACCAACCTATACGGCTACGAAAGAGTGAATATGACAACAGCGTTATCCATCCATATCCCTCTCAAGTAAAGAAAATCGGTGGACGCGGCTTCAGGCCGGGGGAAATCAGGGCAGAAAAAAGTCTACTGGAGCTGTCTTGTTGATCCTGGGACTCTGATAGCGCAGACCTGCTCCGCGTTTTGAGCTGTACGAATGCAGAGACAGTACGGACAAATAAACGTGGGTGAGCAGAGGAGACAGACGACAGAACGACAGAGGCAGTGACACAGCCGTCGACAAGAGTCAGTCAGTCGGAAGTCGCAATCGCCCAATTAGAAAACGACCAAAGAAAATCAAGAGAAAAAAGGGCAGAGCCGCAGCACTTGAAAACGTGAGAAACACACAACAAACCGCCACATCGGAAGTGATTTAACTGTGCAAATGACACCTTCACAAACCCTCCGGGTGCTAAATCGCAAACCCTAGGGATGGCAAGGTCTTGAACGCAAAAAGATTGACGACTGCCAGCAGGGACGGATTCGGTCAAAGATACAGAAAAAAAAACTCAACTCTCCTTAAAACGAAGTCTAATGAACTCTCACCCCCACATGCCGCCCCCCATCACTCCTTGTCCCGATCCCTTTCCACCCCCACCCCCCTTCCAACCGCCTCCCAGAGCACACACACAACACCACCCAGAAGAACCAAACGCACTTTAATGAACAGTCACAGACTTACACCCAAAAAGAATCAGTTTGATCTCTTTCAAATCACAGCGAGCAAAAAGGTTTTCTTTCAGCAACATCTAGGCAGAGCAGCACAAACATCAAGCACACTGTTCAAGACTACAGTCTTCCCCCGAATACAACGTACGGTAATTGTAGCTGAATTTAGACGGAAAGATAGACCAAATTCAGCTATAATGACCGTACGTTGTATTAAGGGGAAGACTGTAATGGCCTAAAGAATTGATGGAAAGAAGAGCCCCCAGGACAACAAATGCCAGTGAGAGGGGAGCCTAGCATTCCACAGAAATTAAGTGCATTCCACAGAAATTAAGTCGCAAAGGAAAGCCACGCATTGATCTTTTAATATTTCAAGCAGAGAGGCAAAACATCTCAAGCAGTTACGTGCTGTGGTATAGACGAGCAATCGAACCGTCACCGGAAGTTTATCTCACAGAGTGGTCCACATCTCAAGCAGTTACGTACTGTGGTATAGACGAGCAATTGAATACAAGCCAGGCTCAGGTGGCAGACAAAACTGTGATTTACTGTGGTAAACAGTAAAACTAGGATTGGGGTACAGTAAGATACAAAACCATGGTGAAATATGCCTGCTTAGCATGTTGCTATAATAAGGGAGATATCAAGATGCCCCTTCACCTCCAAAAGAGAGAGCCCCCGCTGAAAACCACCAGTCCCTCCTGAAAACCACCAGTCCGATTCTCCATCCAAAGGTGGTGGCCGGGTCTTGGATTTTGCACCCAATGGAGGGAGGTCTGTGGATTCTCCATCCACAAGAGGGGAGGCAGCAGAGCCACACACACACACACACACACACACACACACACACACACACA